TCACTGGTATAAAATTGGAATTGGGGGCCTCAGGAAGGCACAGATTGACTGTGAAATATGGCATGTAACTTCATTGAAACTTTTATATTAGGTAATTCAAGTCAGTGTTTCTAGTTTTCATTTAGATCCAAGTAAGAATTTTCCCTTGTTTAAGGGAGCTCTGGTGGCCTGGTAGCGAGAAGCTGCACTGCACTCTCAGAAGGATGCAGTTCGAATCCACCAGATTCTCTGCTGGAGAAGGAGGGACAATCTCCCCCTGTACCAGTCAGATCTGATTTGACGGTTGTTTTTGTTGTTAAGTGCTGTTGAGTCGGAGGTGACTCCTAGCGACCCTATGAACAAAAGACCTGGACACTTGTATAACTTTCATCCTTTCTCCAGGTTCATAGGGTTTCCAGAGGCAAGCTGTTGTGGAAGTGGATGCCACTCCTGCTTCCAAGCTTGTTTTAATCAGGGAGCTCCACCAAACACTGTCCACCATGGATAACCATTCTTGCATTAGACTCATCAGTGTCACAGTGTTTGGCTTCACAGCAACCACGAATTACCTCTGCACAGCAGATGGACAGACCAGGGTTATACGACCTAGAAGAATGTTTCATGGTACACACCCAAAAAATAATATAATTAAAAAAATAATTTTCCCTTGTTATACATTTTGTCAGATTATTATTGGCCAAAGTTATATATTTTCTCTGTTAGTAGGTTACCATTTTGGTTTCTCTCTCTTCATTTTATATTTAGTTTGAGGCATTCTTAGCAATTGAATTTCCTCACTTACTTCCTTGACGGTACAATATAAGGCTCTTGTGCCTCAGTCAAATGCTGTAGCAAGAACTTCTTGTCTAAGCGCTTTTCTGCTAATCTTAGGAACTCTGTGTCACCATTTCCTGGGAGACCGAGGAGAAACATCTAAAATACAATTCAGGACTTGTCCCTCTCCATCTCTCATGTTTTATCCTTGCGATCCAGTTGTCAAGAGTACAGCCCACGTAGTGAGCTATTTTAAACAACATTAAATATTTTCATGTGGTAAAAGCATAAAATGAGGATAAACTACAGATAAATGGATCCCTGTTATTGGGATAGCTTAGAACAAATTTAAAGGATTCCTAATTTTCTATGTAGACCCTATTGACCTCTCCTTTTAGCCTGAAACCTAGGGTTCCCTGTCATGCCTCAGTCCTTTACTTGTTTTAGATTGAACTCTCTCTTGGTTATATTTTATGTTTCCCTATTCATACACTTTTCCTGTCTTTCCCTCTGCAAGTTGTTATACTGTGAATTGTTGTCAGGGATACTAATTCTTTTTCTTTTTAAGAAAATAACTAGAGGAGCTCCAGGGACTTTTAGATCTCTTGTCTTGATGGGGTTAAGTATTTCTTGCTAAGTTATTGTTAAATGCCATATGAGTGCTGGCTGTGACTCATAGCCACACTGAACAACAGATCAAACCCATACCCTATCCTGTGCCATCCTCACAGTCTCTGCCATCTAGTTTAGGGTCTTCTTCTCTTTCCCTGACTCTCCATCTTTTCCCAGCATGACCCAGGACTGGCCAAATGACAAAATGCCAAAGGATGTGAGGTAGCGTTTGAGCATCCTGGCCTCTAAGGAGCACCTTGGTTGCCCTTCTTCCAGGATAAGTTGTTTGTTCTTTTGGGGGTTTGGAGACTCTTTGCCAACATCACTGTTCAGAGCCATTGATTCTTCTTTGATCTTCCTCATTCATGGTCTTAAATTTTACAGGGATACAGTAACTGGGGCAATGGGGTTTGGTGTGTTGGAGTCAGTGAGACTGGCTCAGGACAGGGTAAGTTTCAGAGCTGCTGTACATCGGGCTGCTATGAGTCACAGACGACTCGAAGGCACATAACAGACAGTAGTGGTTGGATACTATGGCTTGGGTTAGGTACACCCGCATCTTTAAACTGCCATCCTTGCTCTTGAGATGTAACACACTTTTTATTCTGACTGCTGCTGTCTTGGGTGTTGTGGATCTAAGTAAAAAGAAATCATTGAGACAGTCTATTTCTTTTGTTGTTCGTTAGCACTGTTCATAAGGAACTTAAAACTATTTCTTTTCATTACCTTTTAATTGTATTTATTTATTTGCTTTTAAAATGTTTTATATTCAGAACTTTCCAATCATCAGAATACATGTGTATGGTAAGATAAATATAAATTTACCCAGCTGATAAATGAACCAAAATAATAGAACACTTTTTAAAAATATTTTTTTCATTAATTTTAATGAAAATTTAGAGAGACTTTGGATTTCCATTCATTCATTGTTGCACTTTTCTCCCTGCCTATCACCACCACCCCCAAGTACACTCTTCTTTTTGAAAAGGAATAGAAAAATTCTTTCATTGTTTTACAAACCCTCCCCCCAGGTCCACTCCACTGTACAGCCTTCACTCTGGATTCCTGTCATGACAAAAATAGCTAATCACACATCCCTTTTAAACAGTTTTCTCCCCCATCTGTTTCAATGCAGTGTACATTATTGAACCCATCTTTCTCAGTCTCTCCCCAACCCCAAGTTCAGTCCTGTTTTATAACAGTGGCACCATCCAGTATTTGTCCTTTTGTAACTGAGATACTTCACTCAGCATAATGTCTTCCAGGGTCAACCATTTTGAATAATATTGCATCAGTTCCTTGTTTTTCAATGCAGCATAGTATTCCACTGTGTGCGTATACCACAGCTTCTCTATACATTTGTTTGTTGATGGGCACTTAGGTTGTTTCCAACTCCTTGCTATTGTGAACAAAACTGTGATAAACATGGGTGTGAATATATCTGCTTGGGTGGCAGTTATGGTCTCTTTGGGGTATATTCCCAGTAGTGGAATTGCTGGGTCAAATGGTATCTCTATTTGCAACTTTTTGAGAAAGTGCCACACCTCCTTCCACAGTGGTTGCACCATTTTACACTCCAGCCAACGGTGAATAAGTGTTCCAGTTTCTCCACAACCTCGCCAGCATTTGTTGCTTGCTATTCTGTTAAATTTTGCTGTTCTTACTGGGGTGAAATGATATCTCATAGTTGTTTTGAGAACACTTTTTTTTTAAAATTTAGGTTGTTTATTTTTCATTTCAATGAACATCTACAGAGATTTTGGAATTCCATTCATGCATTGTTGCACCCTTCTCCCGTCACCATTTCCTCGCCTCCCCCCCCCCATTTGTTCCCCTCCTTGAAAAGCAAAAGAAAAACTCCCTCATTGGTACACAATCCCCCCCGCACCTCCCCAAACCCCACCCCCTACCCCCAAATATAATACACTCTGCAACCCTCATTGCATACTCCTACGATAAAAATAATGCCCTAAAATATAATACTTTTAGACTATTCTCTCCCCCATAGACTTCAATGCCGTAAACATATTTCATCCAGTTTTTCTCAGTCTTACCCCCACCCCAATGCCAGCCTCATTCTACAACAGTGGTACCATATAGCATTTGTCCCTTTGTGACTGAGATACCTCACCCAGCATAATGTCCTCCAGGGTCACCCATTTTGAATAATATTGCATGAGTTCCTTGTTTTTCAATGCAGCATAGTATTCCATTGTGCGAATATACCACAGCTTCTCTACCCATTCGTTTGTTGATGGGCATTTAGGTTGTTTCCACCTCCTTGCTACTGTAAACAAAGCCGCGATAAACATGGGTATACATATATCTACTTGGATGTCATTTATTGTCTCTTTAGGGTATATTCCCAGTAGTGGAATTGCTGGGTCAAATGGTATCTTTATTTGAAATTTTTTAGAAAGCGCCACAATGCTTTCCACAGTAGTTGCACCATTTTACACTCCCACTAACAGTGAATAAGGGTTCCAGTCTCTCCACAACCTCGCCAGCATTTGTTGCTTGCTGTTCTGTTAAATTTTGCTAGTCTTACTGGAGTGAGATGATATCTCATGGTTGTCTTGATTTGCATCTCTCTCAGGGCTAGGGATTTTGAACATTTCTTCATGTGCTTGTTGGCCATCTGAATGTCTTCCTTGGTGAAGTGTCTGTTCATATCCTGTGCCCATTTTTCAATTGGATTATTCTCCTTTATCTTGTTGTGGTGCTCGAGTATTTTATAAATTCTAGATATAAGTCTCTTGTCTGACATGTCATTACCAAAAACTTTTTCCCACTCTGTGGCTTCCCTTTTTACCCTGTTAGAGAAGTTTCTGGATGCGCATAGGGATTTGATTCTTAGAAGGTCCCATTCATCTATTTTATCTTCTCCTGGTTGTAAAACACTTTTATTTTTTAATAGACTATATATATAAAAAAAAATAAAAACAAAGACAGTAGTGTTGTCTATCTGTAGACCCTGGAACAGATTTTAATAAGTTCCCTGAGGAATTGTTAACAGTGCAGATCACTTAATTCTACTCCTCAAACTTTGATGCAATATGTATATTGTTGGACGTGAGTCTGCCCTTTTAACAACCATTTTGAATTATTTAGATACAGGGTATTTTAAAACTACTACACAAAGTACTGTCCTCAATTCCAAGTCTGACCTGACTATTCCAGTAGAATTTTACAGAAGCTACTAGACAATAGTGCATGATCTGAAGTCTCTTAATTAAATGATTGCGTAATGTTACAGCAGCTATTAAAACTCTGACGTTGACACTAATATATCAGGGTATTCCTAATACCTTCATGCTATACCAGAATTTTAAAAGAATCTCTTCTTTGTCTGGGAAAATACGATTTGCTTAACTATCTGCTTGCCAGTTACTTCCCCCCCACCCCCCAAATTACTTTTGAAAATAGTCTTCAGGGATTATTTCCTGATTTCCTGTGGTAATTAGTAGCTGTTTATTAGTGGGTTGGTTTGTTTGGTGGCTTAGTTTCCTCTTTGTTCCCTCCCCACCCCACCTCACACCCCACCAAAATTAACTTTGGGCACCCTTATTTCTTAACCTGTTTGTAAAGAGGTTTAAAATAACTTACTTGTTCTAAAAATCTTTAATTATTTGTAGGACGAACTTTCTGACGTTAGCCAAGGAGGATCTAAAGCTACTACTCCAGCATCAACAGCTGCATCAGATGGGGCAGCAATTCCTATTGATACTCCTTTAAAGGAGGATAATGAAGGATTTGTGAAGGCTGCAGATACACCACATAAGTCAGATGTAAACAAGCACATTGAAGTTCAAGTAGCCCAAGAAACTAGAAATGTATCAACTGGTAAGTGACCCCATCTCTTTATTCACTAGCTAAGTATTCACTTAATCTGAATGACACAGGCATGAGGAATTTTTTAGGAGAATGTTGCCTAATTAACAAAGTAGATAGGGAATTCATTCTACTCAACTTGTAAATAAGCTTAAAATGAATAGAATTTTCTCTTTAAGCAGTTATTAAAAAGAAGCAAAGTTACTAAATAAAGCTTCAGAGTAAGAAAAGGTTTTGTTGGGTGGTAGAGCTTGGAGAATCTGAAAGGCAAGAAGGAATTGTCTTTCTCCCCACTGCCTATAGAGAGAGCTTCAACCTGTGTCGTCTAGTCTGCACACTAAAGAGGAAGAAAACGGGGCTCTGGCCAAGGTTAACGTGCCACTGTGTGTCCTTAAGGAGCATTAATGACAATTTTCTTTGGTTATTTGTTAGCTTTTAATAGTGACTCTTAACTAAATATATGATGTCTTTATCTAACCCTGCGTTTCCTAGACTTTTTTTTCTTATTTTTTTTTTTATTCTTAGATATTTCTTTATTCATCTGTCACAGGCCTTGAATTCTTCTGTCTGTTTTAGGAATTAAAGAATACTTTCCACTTGGGACCTCTTTAAAAGTCAGGGGCACAATATGCTTATTGATTCTAGCTTATAGGCAACATTATGAAGGTAGATTTTCACTGCATACTGACTGCTGTGAATTACAGACCAGGTTGGAATACTCTTTAAAATATTGATATTACTATTATTGATAATGAATTTTTATTTTATGATCAAATGATAGAAATAGAGACCCTCAGGATTTCATATTGGAGGTGCTTACTTTGGGATATGTGCATTGTTTCTGTCATCTTGTCCTTTCCTAAGGATCTGCTGAAAATGATGAGAAGTCAGAAGTGCAAGCGATCATTGACTCCACTCCTGAGTTGGATATGGACAAAGACCTCAGTGGATATAAAGGCTCAAGGTACCAGCTGTCAGATGAAGGCATTTTCTTTCTATCCTCCCATTCACATAAGTTTCACTATATGATTTTTTATCAAAGTGGATTCAAATGAAGAAATGTTTATTCTACTTTATATTCTTTTCATTCATTGTTACCTGTTTGTAACATTAGAGATCAGGAGCATACAGAAGGATGAGGTAGAGGCCTAGACACCTGAGAGGTGCGCCATACGTCCCATAACTTTAGCAATCAAATCAGAAGGGAAGGAATAATAACTTGACCCAACTTTTATCCCCCCTCCATATCAAGAAGAGAAGGTGCTTCCTACTTCAGAACTGTAGTGATAGCATTGTTAGAAGAAATTAATCTTAGTATCATTCTTCCTGGGAAACTTGTTTACTTACCAGTGTGAAAGAAATCGTTATCTGTCATCTCGTTCAAGGATATCAGAAATATTTTGATGGTCAAGAATGTCAAACAGAGCTACCACTTTTCATTTCCTCCGTAAATTTTATCCTTTAATTGTTGTGTACTGTTGAACTGGAACCAACCTATAGCTGACCCTCAGCAGTTAATTGAATGGGAGGAGATTACCCATTCTTCTCCCATGGAGCAGATGGTGGATTTGATCTGCATCTTTGGGATTACAGTACTGTGATTTACCATTAGGCCACCATAGTATTTAGTACTGACTGTAATAATAATAATAATGCCTTTTGTTGATCACTGCTAGACACTGTTTACTAGGTAATAGTGTTCAGCTTAACATCCAGAGATTGTGAGGATGGCACTGGGAGGACAGAATTTTGTTCTTTTGTACATAGAGCTGCTGTATGTCAGAGCTGATCTGATACCCAGGAACAACTGTAGTTCTACTATGTGGGGCCAAATCCTGGCTCAGACTTAAAATTTAGGCTGAGTTCAAAGGCTGTGCACTGCTTGAATAATTTTTCATTTATTTTAAATAATGCACAGTATGAAAAGCAAAGTTTGCTTCTTAGTCTCTTCAAAACCTAGAAGGTATAAGATTATTAACAGTTTGTGTGCTTTTGGTTTTTTAGGAAAGTAATGCATATATACAGATTTTAAGCCAACTGGCAATACAAAGTATGAAAGACAAGTCTTTTGCTCCTATCCACTCTTCATCCTCCAGACCCAACCTCTGCCACTGCTGAGCTCTCTTTCTTCTGTTCTTTATCTTAAACTCACAAGTAATCACTGACCTCTCTTTTAGCTGGGATTAAAAATAAAGACCCAGTGTCCTAAGACATCCTTGTATATAATAAATTAGCTGACTTCTTGTGCTAGTGTCTATTTCTGGTGGCCTGCTGGTATAGAATTTCACTGCCTAGCCATGGCGCTTGGTTCAGATCCACCAGATGCCCTATAGGAAAAAGATGAGCGGTCTTCCTCTTTGTGAAAACCCGATGATTTCTGAGCTGGTTCTGACTAGAAGGTCCACAACAACAATACAGAAGCCCAAGAGGTCAGCTGATTGATTGTATACTATGTCTGCTTTGCTAGGGAAAGCTCTGGTAGCTTAGTGATGAGGAGATTTGCTGCCATCCCAAAGCGTGTGGGACAAAGACAGGGAGTCTCCTTCTGTGCATTTTACAGCCTCTGAAAACCTACTGTGAGTTGGTTCTGACTCACTGGCACATAGCAACAGTAGCATCTACTTTGATTAGGATAATTGGGGAGGGGGAAAAAGCTCCTTAAATTAATATTTTGTATTCTGTAGTAACGTTGTTTACAGTATTCAGTGGAAGCCAGTGAGACTATAACTTCTTAAAGGGTTATTCTTTCTTCTTCCAAATATAATTATATCTCAGGTTTTGCTTGCCTTTTAAGGAATTAATATTTGTTGTTACATCATTATGACTCTATAACCACTAATCATACCTTACTCACAGAATATATTATTATTTTATTTCCTTTATTAAAAAAGCAAATTTTTGGTTTACTAGAATTAATATAGCCTTGGGACTTTTGTTTGTTTGGCTTAATTTTCTGTGTAGCTGTTAGTAAATTTATTGACATACCTGCAATAAGGCCAAAACACAAAATCTGTCTGTTTCCTAGAATTCTCTCTCCTGAGGGAGGCCGCCTATTCCTATGTCTAGGCTATTGTATTTGGTCTGGGGTTTGCTCTCACCACCATTATCCTGGCAACTCTTTCCAGCTCTGTTCTGTTGGATCATGCCGGAATCACTGTTATCTTATTTTTGGATTAATACTTTTGACAGAGGTGTTTTTTATTAGGTTGTAGGCCAACAGTGACTGATAGGTAAATTTTTTTCAGATGACAGATGTCATTTGAAGACACAATTGGAAATTCGACTACATATAGAATTCTAGGTTGGGAAATGTTTTCACCAAGAATTTTGAAGCCATTGTTTCATTATCATGCTGACTTCAGGGTGGTACCATTTGGGTTTCTTGAATCCTTATATATTCTCTCAGGAAGCTTTTCAAATCATCACTTTATACCTGCTTTTGTCATTTTTTTTTTCTTTTTCATTCATGACAGTATGGTTAAAGGTCTTTCATTGACTGGGTCTTGATACAGAAAGTCTTTTCTGTATTGGCAGTTCTATCTCTGAGTTTTGATAAAATTTTTTATCATTTCTTTTCATTTTCATTTTTACTTCTTCCTCTTTTTTTATTACTTCTTAGGTTGATAGCAAACCTTTTGATCTGATCCTCAATTTTTCTTTTCTTTGAAAGTTTTCCATCTCTATTTTCTGACCAATTTCTTTAACTTTATCATTTTATTTTTCCAAAAGTTTTTATTTGGTGGTTGCTTTTTACAGCATCCTGTATCTTAAATATGTAGCATTCATTCTGAAAAAAATTAGTTTTTACTTACTCCTATTTTCTTTTCCCTCTGTGTCCTTCTCCTACATTTCTCTTGCTTTGAACTTCTTTATAATAGAGGCTTTCTTTGACTACTTAGTACTCTGTGGCTGTCTGGCTACTATTTAAGTAAATAAAAGTTATAGGCATGAGACTGATTTCATAATCTCATACTTGTAACTTTTAAACTTAGCTACTACAGTATTAGTTCTGTGCCTTGTACTGCCTTTCAAATTTTTATTCTGGTAAGATATATGTTATATTGTTAGCCATTTTAACCTTTTTTTTAAAATTTGTTTTACTTCATTATTTTTTGTGTGTACCGTCAAATCAGATCTGACTGGTACAGGAGGAGATTGTTCCTCCTCCAGCAGAGCATCTGGTGGATTCGAACCATGCATTTAACCTTTTTTTAAAATGTGTATTATTCATTGGCATTAGTTATATCCAGTGTGGTATGCAGCCTTCAAGACTATGTCTAAAATTTTCTTCACCCCACAGAGAAACTCTTGCACTGCAGGTTTGTGGCATTTTAGGGGTTCTGGCCACCTACTAATTTTCTTCCTTCCATAACCCAGAAGCTTTAATTTCAGCTGCCGCTAAAGAATAATTTCTACTGTTTTGCCACCTTACGGATTTTTTATATACTGTCTTGTGGACATTGTTGTTGTTCTTAGGTGCTATCCAGTCAAGTATGACCCAGAGATACCCTGTGAACAACAGATCTGAACCCTGTCCTATCGTGTGTCATCGTCTCACTTCCTAATAAATTAAAACCCAAGGTGGCAGTCACCGTGTCAGTCCATCTGGTTGAGGGTCCTCCTCTCCTTGGCCAATTCTCTACCTTTCCTAACATCATGTCTGTCTCCAAGGAAAAGGCCTTCCTAGCAACATGCTTGAAGTATGTGAGGCGAAGCCTCATCATCTTTGCCTCCAAAGAATACTTTAGCTGTACGCTTTCCAAGACATATTTGTTTGTTTTGTTTTTTTTAAAATTTGATTTTGTGGACATTCTTCTTGTGTTGTTATGTGCCGTTGGGTCGCTTGCAACTCAAAGCGACCCTGTGTACAACAGCCCTAAACTCCTCTCTGTCCTGTGCCAATCACACCATCTCCGATACACCCATCCCTATTGCCCCAGTCACTGAATCAATCCACCTCATAGAGGGCTTTAGCCTCCTGCGCTGTCCCTCCACCCTCCCAAGCATGATGTCCCTCTCCAAGGACCAGTCCCTCCTTACAACATGTCCAAAGTATGTTAGACAGAGCCTCAGAATTCTTGCCTCCAAGGAGCCGACTGGTTTGACACTTTCCAGGATGAATCTGTTTTCCTAAGCAGTCCTTGGTACCCTCAATACTCTTCTGCAGCACCACAGCTCAAAGGCATCAATTTTCCTTCTATCCTCCTTAGTCATTGCCCAGCCTTCTGATGAATAACAAGTGATTGCAAAGACCATGGCCTATATCAAACACACTTTAGTCTCCAGAGAGACACCATTAATCTTCAGTACTTTGGAGAGGTCCCTAACAGCAGACTTTCCCATCATAATACGTCTTTTAATTTCCTGGTTACTGGTGCCAAGAGTGT